ACTGAGGTCCATTGCACCAGTCGGTGGTATCGATTGCTGTTTATCGGTTTCACAACTGTTTCCACGTGATTGTTCTCGATATCGTAATCAAATGATACTCGAAGTGGAATGTTAAGCAAGGAACTCCTTTCCAAAGAGGCGATATATCTTGCACTTTCGAATGGAGCTATAAACCCAATTTTACTCATCTTTCGTGCAGAAGACCTGACAATGAAACAAAAGTTACAATTACGAAACAACAAAAGTAACTGACCTCATTATTTACTGGACAGTAATAAATAAAGAAACAACCTCTAGAATAATCCACCTTTCTCACAACATCCAGTTAGGTTAGGTTTGCCAACTCCGAAATTCCTCTGGGTAACATTTTTTTTCTTTTTTAATATTGTTCTCACATACTTACACAATGTGGATGTCGGCTGTGACGTTCAGGGTACTAGGGACTTGTATAAATTCGTCTGAACCTCCAGACAAGTCAGGTTGTGACTGCAGTTGGACTTCGCCACCAAACTTCATGAGTATTGGCTTTTCAAGTGTGTAGATGGAAGGTAGGCCCAGGGCATTGGGGAAGGCAATAGTCACTTGATGACCACTGTATAATTTGGTGTAATTAAAAGGCTGAGGTCGACCGTAATGTCGGGCGAATTCCTTTACAACTGAAAATAAATATAAATTATCAAAGTGTTTGTTAATAGCAGGTCAGTCGTCTGATGTAACCACTGTATATTCTGTTATTAATTGATTTATTTTATAATTAATTTGAAATAATAGCTCTATGAAGCCTTTAATATTATAACATTAGAGTCCGGGATTTTGCTCGTGAGATTTTAGAATAATTGTTTTTTTTGTTTTTTTAATATCTGGAGAACTGTTTCAAAGTTACTTACGCTTGGGAATTATATCCAAGGTATGATTATCGAAAGCGAAGAATCTTTGTGCCCCAGCAAATCTGAATTCAATATTTCCTTCCACTTTTTCGGGCTCGTCAGTTTCGATGTCCAGAAATTTTTCCAAATCTCCTATCATCCATTTCCGTTTAGATGAAGAGCCTGGAGCCCTCTTGTGTCTTCCCTTGATCTCGTGTTCTCCGGTTTCAATTTTCTCTCGTAGGTACTTAAGTGCTTCTTTCACGCTGGACACCATCCCTGCAAACTGTTTTCAGGCAATAAAAATTTAAACCTTACAAAATTATGCGCGGCTTTGTGAATATTTGTTCATACACCTGTATCGGCGTTTTTTCCTTCCGGAAATTTTCCTACATCTCTTTAAGACTTCCAATAAACCACTAATATATATATCAAATCTAAAACTTCTTAACGATGGTGAAGAGTCAATTGAATAAAAATTTTCTTGGATATTATCCATCGTCTAGTAAATATAAAACGTAAAAAACGACGTTTCGGAGATGGGACTCTATCTCCGTCTTCAGGTTCCTACACAGTTGGGCCCACTAGATAGAGCTAATCCCTATCTCCGGACCTTCCATCGTCTAGTAAATATAAAACGTAAAACGACGTTTCGGAGATGGGACTCCATCTCCGTCTTCAGGTTCCTACACAGTTGGGCCCACTAGATAGAGCTAATCCCTATCTCCGGACCTTCCATCGTCTAGTAAATATAAAACGTAAAAAACGACGTTTCGGAGATGGAACTCTATCTCCGTCTTCAGGTTCCTACATAGTTGGGCCCACTAGATAGAGCTAATCCCTATCTCCGTCCGGAGATATGGATCCGAAACGTCGTTTTAAGTTTTATATTTACTAGACGATGGATAATATCCAAGAAAATTTTTATTCAATTCACTAATATATTTTTTTTTCTGATTAATTTTTCAGAATATGTTAATTAATTCAGACACTCCTAAATATGCATAATTTATCTTTCGTAAAATAAATTTATTCTACAACTTACTTTAGTCTCTTCCTCTGTTGAACCACCGACATTACGTACAAGATTTGCAAATAAAACATTGGGGAGAAGGCTGTCACTGCTACCAACATAGCTAAAGTCATCTTCATAGCCAAGATTCATTTCCTGTACTGTTTTGCTCGCCAGGAAGGTTTTGGAGAACGCGTTGTCTTGTTCTTCAGGATTCAAGAGGTTCACTGCTGTTTTGGCATTTGAAGACCTGTAAGATTAAAATTTGATAACAAATTCTTAGCATTACCTCAATTAATATATAAAATATTACTGTTTAATAAAATTAATATTGTGTATAAGTAGAAAACGGGGTTGTTTGCTTACAACTCGAAGGTGTCTGGTCCTTTGAGAGATGCAGCGGACTTGATGGCAGACTGTACAACTGAAATGACCTGAGTATCTGGATCAGAATTTGTAAATTCAGCCATTCGCTGGAGAACATTAGCCGGAGGATTTGTCTTCATCAAAAGACTTACTGCTACACATCTTATCTCGTGAGGTTCTCCGGTGTTTTGATACAGCTTGAACAACACCGCTCTAGCTTCTTCTGGATATAATTTCACCATCTTGTTCAAAGCTGATACCATGTGAAGTCTTTGAAAATCTGATACATTTGCCTCTCCTTCTAGATAAGGTTCGAAGATTGGAAGAATGCTCGGATGACCGATGTTTCCAAGGGCGTGGATATAAATTTGAGTTTTTTGGTTGTCGTCTTCAGCTATTGACTCATTTAGTAAGCTTCCAAAATATGGAATATATTCCTTGGTCAGTGGAGGGAATTTCTTAGGGACCATTCGACCAAAGACGTGCACTGGGTAGTTGTCGTGTGCAGAATCATTGTCCACCGCCACCTTCCGGAGTAGATTTGCAAAAGACAGTATGGCAGTGGCGTTTAGAAACATTTCTCTCTTCGTCTTGGGATCTTTAGACAGTTCCTAGAACAAATTAAAGCAATCAGAGGAACATTCTTACATAACAAATAATTTATTTCGTGGAGAAGAGACCTTGGAAAGCTGATAGTCGCCCTGTTGATCAGAATTCGCTCCGTCATTTACAAAAACCACGAGCCCTACCGAAAGTTCGTCTACCAATTGCTAAGTTTCTTGTATCGTATTTTTTATTTGTTAATACTTACGAAGAGTGCTTTGAGGTAATCAGGCGTTGGTGTTATGGCCACACGTGGGAGAGCAGAGACAATTTCTGCAGCATCCATCCCCGTTACCTTGTTGCTCTTAATCCAGTCTGTGATAGTTGCCAAGGCTGGAAGAGTTCCGGCTTCGGTAACAGCGTCGCGGAAGGCCTTCCTGTGTTACGTACACAAAGATTAACTTTAGTTTACTGATTCCATGAAAGTCGTACATAATCTGATGTACGTAGTGACATAATTATAATTTCTTTTGACAGACATGAGTAATATTTTGTTTTTATATCGGTGAGTACATAGATTTCTGTCTTCTGGGTTGGTGCGCTGTGTAGTCTGGTCGATGTTAACCGACGTTTCAGAGGTCATACTGCCTCCGTCATCAGACTATGAAGATTTCTGTCTTCTGGGTTGGTGCGCTGTGTAGTCTGGTCGATGTTAACCGACGTTTCAGAGGTCATACTGCCTCCGTCATCAGACTATGAAGATTTCTGTCTTCTGGGTTGGTGCGCTGTGTAGTCTGGTCGATGTTAACCGACGTTTCAGAGGTCATACTGCCTCCGTCATCAGACTATGAAGATTTCTGTCTTCTGGGTTGGTGCGCTGTGTAGTCTGGTCGATGTTAACCGACGTTTCAGAGGTCATACTGCCTCCGTCATCAGACTATGAAGATTTCTGTCTTCTGGGTTGGTGCGCTGTGTAGTCTGGTCGATGTTAACCGACGTTTCAGAGGTCATACTGCCTCCGTCATCAGACTATGAAGATTTCTGTCTTCTGGGTTGGTGCGCTGTGTAGTCTGGTCGATGTTAACCGACGTTTCAGAGGTCATACTGCCTCCGTCATCAGACTATGAAGATTTCTGTCTTCTGGGTTGGTGCGCTGTGTAGTCTGGTCGATGTTAACCGACGTTTCAGAGGTCATACTGCCTCCGTCATCAGACTATGAAGATTTCTGTCTTCTGGGTTGGTGCGCTGTGTAGTCTGGTCGATGTTAACCGACGTTTCAGAGGTCATACTGCCTCCGTCATCAGACTATGAAGATTTCTGTCTTCTGGGTTGGTGCGCTGTGTAGTCTGGTCGATGTTAACCGACGTTTCAGAGGTCATACTGCCTCCGTCATCAGACTATGAAGATTTCTGTCTTCTGGGTTGGTGCGCTGTGTAGTCTGGTCGATGTTAACCGACGTTTCAGAGGTCATACTGCCTCCGTCATCAGGGCGACAATCCAGAAGACAGAAATCTTCATGAGTTGCATTTGGACTACGATTACATTTCCGAATTCATTACTGTTTGGCATGAAAGATAAAGTTACTTTATTTAGCAAAAATAAGTATCCCTTACCATGTTGACAGTCGGATGCTGACGCTGGGATCTGAATGATACTTGGATGAATATTGTGGAATGTACAACTTCTTAGTCGCCTGATAGAGTTCTTTGGTGTTCATGGTGCGGATAAGACGTGTCATGATGACGAATCTCGCCAAGGTATTTTCGTCCAGAATAGTACTTGCATTTTGCAAATCTGACCCGATTTGGCCGGCAAGGTTCATGACCTCACGTACAGGGTCGATTCGGCTTGAATCATTGATGGCACTCCCTTCCTTTCCTATGAAGAAAGGTAGGAGAGGAATGTTCGGTGCTTCGTCATTTTCTGGTCGTGGTTGGAAGTCCTCTTCACTGCTACTGCTACTGCTACTGCTACTGCTACTGCTACTGCTACTATCTTCGCCTTTCTTGTTGGATTCTTTCTTAGTGGGTGATTTGCGATTCACTGATCGACCGAATCTTCTGATTTTCTGGGCCTCCTGAGAACCAGACGTTTCAGCTTCGTCGTCATCCTCGTCGCTGGCATTTGGATTCCTGTTACTAATTCTTTTCTTCAGGCCCTTTAGAACTGTTTTCTTTGAACTGTCGACTTTGGTTCGTTCTTCGCTGCTACTGCTACTGCTACTGCTACTGCTACTGCTACTGCTGCTGCTTGTGCTATTGGAGCCTTCTTCGCTGCTGCTGCTGCTGCTGCTGCTGCTGCTACTGCTGCTGCTGCTACTGCTGTCACTATCTGCAGAGTATCTGCTAGAGCTCTTGTTTCTTACGACTGGTTCATCGCCGAATGCGTTGTTGTAAGTGTACACGAGGTCCCCGGCATTTCGAGGATTCACAGGAGCCGAGATTTGTTCCGAAGGTTCAATCGAGTCAATGGTGAGGTTTACGCTACTGACAATCATTCCCTGCAGGCTGTTGTATAGTTCAGTGTTCACGAGGACCTTGTTGGTGGTGACTGACGACTGGATGGTGAATCTGTTCAGGGTCCCGTTGATGATCACCCGAGTCAACGAAGAATGCTGCAAGAAGTAGGATAATTATACAGGGTGTCCAAAAATATTTATATACAGTAGGATAATTATACAGGGTAGTCCAAGATGTTTATATACATTAGGAAATTTATACTGGGTGTCCAAAAATATTTATATAAAGTAGGATAATTATACAGGGTGTCCAAGATGTTTGTATACATTAGGAAATTTATACAGGATGTCCAAAAATATTTATATAAAGTAGGATAATTATACAGAGTGTCCAAAATATTTATATACGCTATAATAAGGTACATCAACATTTTCAGTCAGTTGCTCACAACTGACGGTGGTAATTTTGAACACCTACACTACATTAGCTAATTAACTAAGTGACAATGCTGATGTATGTAATGGTTTAGTTCAGTAAGATGTCATTTAATTTAATCGGTTGTGTTTATACATCTTTTTGAGACACCATATCAGTGTGTCAAGTCTTGATTTTTTTTCGAGAACACATTAACTTTTGTTGGCGTTAACTCTTTATGATGGTTTAATCTCAATAGTATGTAATTTAGTTGAATTATTATTATGAAAATTAGTAAGACTCCTTGTTTGATGGATCAGAATATCTCAAGGCTTTTACTATTGCAGAAGAACTCAAAAACAGGCAGAAATTCACATACAAGTTACTTATTTATATTAATTACTATCTTCATGTTAAGGGACAGAGCACATAACTTCCAAAGTTGAACAAAAATAAATAATATTAATAAAATACAGTACACTTACAGACATAAATTCGCCCATGCTGTTCTGGCCGGGTTCAAATTTATCCAGTCCAGTAACACCGAAATGCAGACCGCGTCTTTCGTCGCAGTTTGAGAAATTTTGAGATTTGATGACGTCAAAGATGTCTCCATCAGTGGCGTTACTCAGAGGGGCTAGTTCCGGCTGTTGCTGAAGTACGATTGCTGGTAGCGGGGAGATGTCGTACACAACGGCACATTCGCCAGTCACCGTACTCTGAAATGAATTACAGATAGTAATTAGCACAACACGTGCGTGTGATACACCCAGGCCGTTCAAAGTTTGTTTGTTACTTTGCATAATTAATTGTTTTTGCTTACTTCCATCGCTGTAAAAACTGCATTGCTGGAGTTAGCTTCAGGTAGAGTGTACTGACTGTCTTTGACGAGTCTTGCACCCTGTGTGTTGACCTGAAGAGGACTTAGAATAGCCTTTAACATGTTGGTTTCCCACTCATTTGTAGACCCCGAGACGTTCAGACTCTCAACCTAAGGAACAGAACAGATTATTACCATTATCTAATGTTCTCAGGACTTGTTAGAATATTCTAGTCCCCGATCTAAAATAAGACTATCAGATATATTACGTCAGATTTTTTTATTAAGTATTAAGATGGCTGTCTGCTGACGTGTGTAATCCGGTAGAAATGTTTAATATTTTAAAGCTGAGTGGTAACAGTGTATACCAGCTGTTTTTTAACAGCCAGTAACACTTTATATTAATAGGTTTCACATAATTTTCAATGTAAACAGATGAAGTCATCAAAAAGCTTCAACAAACTGATCTGTTTAAAGGTAAAGTGTCGTTTTCTTTGCGGTACGGACTAAATTCTCAAACGTATTCATTCTTAATTTATCTTTAGCCGCCATCTCGACACAGGTTTTCCTCTGTCTTCAAGCAAATGCTGAGATGGTTCCCAAGTTCCAAGTTGCCACTGCAAGCTTCTCATGCAGCCCTCCCGATTTAAATTAATCAAAATTTACCACCCCTTAACGCCGTCAAAATTTACCCCCCTCCCCTCAGTAGGAACTTCTAAATTATGTATTAAACTTCCAAATTAATAG